TTTTTGGTGTTTTTTTTTTTTTTTTTTGAGGGTGATTAGCCCTGAGCTAACATCTGCTTCCAATCCTCCTCTTTTGGCTGAGGAAGACTGGCCCTGAGGTAACATCCATGCCCATCTTCCTTTGCTTTATATGTGGGATGCCTACCACAGCTTGGCTTGCTGAGCGGTGCCATGTCCGCACCCGGCATCCAAACCAGTGAACTCCAGGCTGCCAAAGCAGACTGTGCAAACTTAACCACTGCCCCACCGGGCCAGCCCTCTCCTTCATTCTCGAAGGATTGTTTTGCCAGATTAAAACTTTTGATTGGCAATTTTTTATTCAGCATTTTAAAAATGTCATTCCATTGCCATCTGTACTCCATGATTTCTATTCATAAATCACCTTTTGATCTTATTGATGATTCCTTGTAAGTGATTCATTGACTGCCTCTTGCTGCTCAGAGATTCTTTCTCTTTCTTTAGCTTTTCACAGTTTGATTATGATGTATGTAATTTTGTGCATTCTAGTTGGAGTTCCTTGAGCTTCCTAGATGTGTAAATTAATATTTTTCATCATATTTGGAATAGTTTGGCCCTTGCTTCTTAAAATAGTCTTACTACCCCTTTTTCTCTCCCCTCTTTTTCTCAGACTTCCATTATGCATATGATGGTATGTAGGATGGTGTCCTACAGGTCTCAGGCTCTGTTCGTTTTGCTTCATTATTTGTTTTTTTCTTTTCCTCAGACTGGGTAATCTCAAGTGACCTACCTTCAAATTCACTGATTCTTTTTCTGCATACTCACATCAGTGATTGAGCCCCTCTAGTGAATTTTTCATTTCATTTATTATACTTCTGAATTCCAGAATATCTATCTGGTTCCTTTTTACTTTTTTTACTGATATTCTTTATCTCATACCTTTAAAAAATTCTTTAGACTTAGTTTCCTTAGCTCTTAGAACATATTTCAAATAGATGATGTAAAGTCTTTATCTAGTAAGTCTAAAATTTGGATCTCCTCAGGGACCATTTGTATTGATTAATATTTTTAATTAATAAACTTTATTTTTAGAGTAATTTCAGGTTTACAGAAAATTAGCTGGTGGTGTAGCATTCCCATATACCCACTATCTCCCCCCACACAGTTTCAAGTATTATTAACATCTTTCATTAGTATTGTACATTTGTTATAGTTGATGAACCAATATTGATACATTATTATGAACTAAAGTCAGTATTTTCCTATAGGGCTCATTCTTTGTGTTGTATAGTTCTATGGATTTTGACAAATGTGTAATATTATACCAATGCTTCTTAGCCTTTTTCTGCCTGAAGTGTGACAAGAAGGCTGGAGGGGGCTGGAGTTGAGCATCTCCCCTCCTTACATCAGTTAGTCTCTGGTAAAATAGTTTCCCTTGAGGTCAGGTGAAACAGAACACTCCTGGCATATTTCAGAACGGTTATTTTTTACCCTGGGCATAATTTAAAATAGTTACTTTTCCTTTCCTCCTTCTGAAAGCAGGAAGGAATATTTCTGCACCGTTTTGCTGTGAGTCCCTGGTGGGGCTCCTGGAGATAAAAGTAATGAAAGTGTGAGTGGCCCTCTGAGACTGGTTTCCAGGAGCTTTTAATTCTCAAGCTAGTCCACACTCAGCCTCTAACAGTTCAGTCTAAGAGAAGTCTAAGTTCTTCTGCCCATCCTTGGCTTCAGCACCTTCTGCTCCCAGTAAACTGTGATTCTCTGTATTAATCTCTCTGGGTTTTGGGGTGTCAGTATGCATTGTGACCTCAATTCCCTGACAGATCTAAGAAAAGTTGTCAATTTTCAGTTTATTCAGCTTTTTTCTTTTTGTGAGCACAGAGTGATAACTTCCAAAGTTTTTTCATGTCAGAGCAAAAATTGGAATTTTTAAACTGATTTTTGGCAAAGATCTGTTTGCTTTTTTCTGAAATGGGCTATGCTTCCTTATTTTTGTTTTGCTTTTTGCATACTTCATGAATTTTTGTTGAAAACTGGATATTTAAAATAGACTGTGAAAACGGTGGACATCAGACCCTTCCCCTTCCCCATGGTTTGTTTTCATTGCTAATTTTTGTAGTTGCTGTTAATTAAGTGACTTTCATGTTATTACTCTAAAGTCTGTATTTTGTTTGTACATATTTGGGCCCTGATGTCTCTACTCAGTTAGTTTAGTGGTCAGTTAATGATTAGACAGTTATCTCTTTAAATGCCAGGAACCAATACATCTCCCAGCCATTGCCGAGCATCTCTTTGTACTTGTTGGCGAATGCCTTCTACACTCAGCTGGGCAGTTGATGACTCTGTCTTAGCCTTTACTTCCTGCTGGTGCACGGTCTCAAGGTCAACCAGAGGTGAGAGATTAGGGCCTTATCCAGTCTCTCTTGATCATGCACACAGCCTTATAAGTGTGGTCTTCAGGGGAATGACCAGACAGGTCTACTAATGACAATCTTTAGGAATGAAACTTTTGAAAAACACCAACCTGCTTCTGCTTCCTCTGGTGTCAGAAATGTGACCTTTTCCTTGTCAAAGCTACTGTTGACCTAGAGAGTGGGTGATGGGAATAGGGAAGGTTAAAATGCCACAGAAGTTTCTCTTTTTACTGAGACTCATCTATTTTCTTGAATAAATGCTCCCAGGGTTTTTGGAAGCCTGTGATACATTTTCAGAGTTTTGAAAAAGTTGATTGAGACAATTTTGCCATTTTTTTCTTTGCATTTATGGAGAGGCGGATTTTCAGAGGTCCTTACTCCACCATTTTCTCTGATGTCTGTGCTTAGTTTTTACCTTTTATTGATTTTTGTTGTTCAAGATAAAAATTCAAAATAGGAATTTCTGGGGCACACACTGTGAATATTTGCATGGCCTTCTATTTTGTATTGTTTTCCACAATTGTATCACAATATCAACTGTGTGAATGTGTCATTATTACCACACCATACCAGATTTTATTTAATCATATAGCTAATTTATCAAATATAAAATTACCTTATTTTCAAGTTGCTCTAGTTTACATTTTTATTACCAAAGAGCAAAAATAATTTCCATGTGTTCATTTAATCTTTCTATCTGCTCTCATTTGAACTTTCTGATGATGAATGGGTAATCTAAGTTTTTTAGCTAACATAAATGAAACCTTTATATATTATTTCTCTTTGTGCCATATTTAGTGAAAATATTTGCTCGTCTGCCTTATGAATTTCTGTCTTGATTCAAAGATGGTAAAGTTATCCTTTTCATATATTGTTAAATTATTAAATTTAAATAATGTATGACTGTTTTATATATCATGTTAATTTTTGCAATTTTTAATATATTTTGAAAATATTTGAATTATTTAATCTGTCAGGAATTTACTTCGATATATTACTTTACAGGTAGAGTGTTTTTGATGAGCATGTCTTATTGGAATTTTGGTATAATGATACTGGTTTATCACCCAGGCAGAAACACCAAAGAGTGTCAATTTATTTGAGTCAGTGTTTTTAAGGGTCCTTTTCATATGCAGCTCCATGCAGAAACTGACTACTTCTTAGTGTGATCATTATTTCATTCAAACATGCTCCCTCATTCCTTCATATACTCTGTCATTCCTTCGATGAGTAGGTATTGACACCTACTATGTCTGGGACCCATTGGCTAGGTGCCAAATATACAATTGCTTTGAAATAAATATGTTCCCTGCCCACATGAAACTTACCGTATGTTGAAGAAAAGAGACATCAGGATTGATGTTTTGATTTAGGAAAAGTATTGTTAACATTAAACTTTGGGACATTTTGGTACTGCATTTCATGTGTTGATTTATTCTTAGAACTACTCTCAATTCTGTAACCTCTTGATTTTTTAGTTTGAATCTAGGTTTATTTTTTAAAGACTTCTTTGAGTTATCTAAAATATAAAGTTCTTTTCTTATATTTTATCTTACAGTTTCATTTATTATCACATGTCTGGTTTTCATATAGAGTAGATTGTTTCTTATTCTCATTGTTGATCTATACTTTTGTTTCTTGCAACAGTATTTTAATTATTTCCTTAGAATATTGGATATATTCAGATATTTATAGGGCCAGGCCATCTCTCCACTAGAAACACATGCACCTATTTACCATCAGTTTAGACTTTCTTTGATATTATTGCCCATTTTTTAAAATTTCAGATAATTCTTTAGTGCCAAATAAAATACTGCTAGTATTTTTATATTGGTATTAAATTGGAAAAATTAGATATTTTTATAATAGTCTTCCTAATATGGGACCTAAATTATGTTCTTGTTTATTTCAACATTTTTTCCCATTCCAGTAATATTTTTGTAACATTCCAAAAAAATATTTTTTAACTAGATATAGTTATTAAATGTATCCCTACATAGTTTATATTTCTGTGCATATAAAGATATGTCTTTTTTGGTATGCTTTCATTTCATTGGTGCTAACAATGGTGTTTGATTTTTTTAAAAAAATCATAATATATCATTTGTATAATTTCTTTTCTAAACTCTCATCAATTACTTTGGTTTTGTAGTGGGGATTTTCTGGTACATAATTATGCTATGTGTAAATAATTTTACTCATTTCTCTACATGTATCATATTTTTAACAGTGAAACTAATAAAACTAGGCTATATCACAAGACCAATTGTACCATACTTTTATGTTTTAAAAATTCATTTAACATAACCTTGGAAATTATGACAAATTTTTGTTAAAGTTGTCTTGAATAGAGGAATCACATAGAAAGGATCTATTAAAATTATTAATGCTTTGTCATCCCAGAAGTTCACCTATTAAGATGGCTTCCCATTCTCTTCTCTGCCAAACACCCTTTCAGAGAAACTCCACCCAAACTTTGTCTGTCTCATTTATTCTTTCAGTCCTTTCGTAAGTACTTTAGTCTATATCTCTTTATTCTGTTGCTCGTTTTCTCCTCTAACCCTTACCAGTGCAATAAATGGCAGGATAATTGAAATATTTTATTTTATTTTACTTTACTTTTCATAGATGGAACGTGTCCTGGAGAAAAGGCTGTCAAAGAGAAGCCATGGGAGAGGCAGAATGGAGGTATCCCAAACCTATATAATTTTCATCTATTTATATCACGTTTATTTTATTTTCAACAAAATTATACACCCTATGTTCATTGTGGCATTATTCACAATAGCCAAGACTTGGAAGCAACCTTGGTGCCTATCAAGGGATGAATGGATAAAGAAGATGTGGTATACATACACAACGGAATACTACTTAGTCATAAGAAACGATGAAATCGGCCATTTGTGACAACATGAATGGAACTAGAGGGTATTATGCTAAGTGAAATAAGTCAGGGGGAGAAAGTCAAACACCATATGATTTCACTCATAAGTAGAAGATAAAAACAAGAACAAACAATCACATAGGGACAGAGATTAGATTGGTGGTTATCAGAGGGGAAGTATGGAGGGAGGAGGGCAAATGGGGTGATTAGGTACATGTGTGTGATGGTGGATTGTAATTAGTCTTTGGGTGGTGAGCATGATGTAAGCTATACAGAAATTGAAGTATAATGATGTACACCTGAAATTTATATAATATTATAAACCAATGTTACCACAATAAAAAAACATTGTAAACATGAAAAAATTTTAGGCATCCTTATGTTTATAAGGTTTTATCAATGAGTATAATGGCAGCTTGTCTTTCAAAAATCCTCAGCTATTGATAGTGTATGTTATAGCCTATTTCTTTTATTTCCTTTTTCATTTTGAATAATGAATACATAAAGAAAAGTGGATAAACCTAGGCATATATAAATAAATATATATATATATTTGTGTGTGTAAGGAAGATTAGCCCTGAGGTAACATCTGTTGCAAATCCTCCTCTTTTTGCTTGAGGAAGATTGTCGCTGAGCTGACATCTGTGCCAGTCTTCCTCTATTTTATGTGGGATGCTGCCACAGCGTGGCTTGACAAGCGGTGCTAGATCTGCCCCCAGGATCTGAACCTGCTAACCCTGGGCCGTCAAAGCAGAGCACATGAACTTAACTGCTACGCCACTGGGCCTCCCTCCTAGATGTCTATTTTTAGTAAGTGGATTATGAGGAAAACATCTGAGTAGCCTCCACTTGGCCACAGATCAACATGTCCAGCACCTCAGAAGTACCCTCTGTACTCCTCCTGAACAAAACCTCATGCTTTCCAATATCCTGACTTTTGTCATACTGATTTCCTTGCTTTTCTTTTTAATTTTAGCTATAGTATTAGATATGTATGCATCCCTGAAGATGATACTTTAGTTTTGTATGTTTGTTAATTAGAACGATTGTATTAATATTTGTGTATTACTGCCTTTGTTCAACATTGTTACCTTCCTCAATGTTGTTGCTTTCTTTCGTTCAGTGTTTGTGAGTTTCATCCATATTTCTGTACCATGGTGCAATAATATCATTTACTATGTTGCTGCTCCTTTTTTCAGCCATTCTTCTGTTGAAGGACATTTAGTTCATTTCCAATTTTTGGTTATTTTGAACAATACTCTTAGAAACATCCTTGTATACGTATCCTGTGTGAGTTCTCTATACTTATTAGTAGAACTGATACTGTTAACTTCATTGGATAATACCAAATTATTTTCCAAAGCGATTTACCAATTTACAGTGCCATAGCAGTGTGGGAATGTTCCAATTGCTCCATTTTCTTTTTACCACTTGATATTATTAGACTTTTAAATTATTGGCAATCTGCATAGTATGTAAGCATATGTAATTATGATTTTAATTTGAATTTCCCTAACTGCTACAAAATTGAAAAAATTTTCACATGCTATTGGACATTTTGATTCCCCTTTTCAAATTGACTCTTTGTATCTTTTTTCAATTTTCTAATGAGTCATTTGTCTTTTTTCTTGCTGATTTAAAAGAGTTCTTTACGCAATGTGAATAATAGCCTGAAAGCAGTTGTATGTGTAGCTAATATCCTCTTACACTGATGCCTTGTACTTTTAATTTATTATATTGCCTTTTGATGAACAAAAGTTCTTATTTTTTTCAACTTAAAGCTTATAATATATTATTTAAGAAAATCTCTACTCTGAGGTCATGCAGATATTCATCCAAATTATCTTCTAAACACTTTGGAGTTTGAACTTTCACATTTTGGTTTGAATCTACATGGGATTGATTTTTCTGTGTTATTTGAGTTGTGGTGTCTACTTTTCTTTTACGTTTGATTACTTTTGACTCTTATTGTTGTAAGAAAAATTATCTGTGGGCATTCCATGAAGCTTAAGATACAGATGACTTCTTCCAGAGTACCTTTGATTTGCTTCTGCCAGGAGCATAGAGCTCTATGACTATGGTACAAACAAAAAATATTGATGACTTGAGAGTTCCTTGGACTTCCCAATGAAGAACAACTAAGAGGTAAATTCAAGTGAGGACCACCAGAGTTTAAATGTCACAGGGATGAGGCTTTTAGTTTCCTGTTTTCTTTTTAGGGTACACTCAACATAGAGACAATTTCACTACAGTTCCTTGAGTTCTGATAGAGGTTGTTTTTGTGGTTCACACTTCTGTTTATTTCTGGTTTATGTTGACTCTGAGACTGTCGTCCTTTGCTGTCCAAATTTAATGTGAATTTTACAATTTAGTTGGAAGTTAAGGGGTATAACTTTTTTGTGCCACAGGCACTTTGAAGTTTGTTGAAGTTTATACTCCCTGGCTTGAGAATCATATTTTTATTTATTTATTTTAAAGATCGGCACCTGAGCTAACAACTGTTGCCAATCTTCTCTCTCTCTCTCTCTTTTTTTTCTGCTTTATCTCCCCAAATTCCCCAGTACATAGTTGTATATCCTAGTTGCAGGTCCCTCTAGTTGTGACATGTGGGATGCCGCCTCAACGTGGCCTGATGAGCGGTGCCATGTCCACACGCAGGATCCGAACGGGTGAAACCCTGGGCTGCCACAGTGGAGCACACAAACTTAACCACTCGGCCACGGGACCAACCCCGAGAATCATATTTTTAAATGTATTGTAAAAAGTACAGAATTATTTTGAAAATAAAGTAAGAGTAAATTTTTTCCCCATCCAAGTTTGTGAATCCCTTAAATTAGGTTCCTAGAACCTAAGTTAAGAATTCCTGACTAGATATTAGCTTATTATTTTATGACACCTATGTGTCATCAGACATCACCAAACTGAGCCCAAGTTTTCCAGGAACTGCAAATGATCTTTATGTAAATAGCACGTTTATACTCAGGTGCTCCAATTAAAACTCTAGGTTCCTACTCTCCTTTAGATTTTGTCCTAGTGGTTTCTATCTCGTTCAGCTTCTCTTTCATATATATAATACATAGGCAATATGTAATACTAAGCGTAAAGTAATTTAAAAGGCATGAGATATATATGATGCCTTTTAAATTATTTTCAGTGGAAAATTTGGTCTGATAAACCTATCTGCCGTTTCATGAAGTGTGCTATACATCATTATTTTATATTGAATCATATTTTTATGTTGAGAGAAACTCTTCTGGCTTGTAAAATTTAACAATTTTAATCCCCTCCTGAATTCTATTTCTTCAAAAATTTGACAGGTAATGTGCTTTGGGGTATATTCCTCAAAGAGTGTTCTGCTGAATATAAATACCAAGATATAGTGAAGGAAGAAAATGATTCTGAGGTAAAATACAACTGGGAAATTCTATATAATTTATCTGTTTCTTGGAGATTTTTTGAGGAGCATTAACATATTGGAAGCCTTAAAATGTCCTGAGTTGAAGACATTTGCTTAAACCATATGTTTTTTGATCATAGAATCCCTTTTCTTTGTATACTTATTAAAATATCTCTGAATTATGTATTTTGAAGAGTGCTAATATAGATGAAAAGAGTTCAGATCTAGTTAAGACGTTTGAATCTTCGTTCCATCAGTTACTAACTTTGTTAGCCTGGTTTTGTTCACTACCTTTCTGGGCCACATTTTACTCATGTGTAAAATGGGAATTAATATCTATTGCTACAAAGAATTAAATAAGCTAATATATTGAAATCAATTATCATGCGTGTGTTCAGTAAATATTAGGCAATTTCATTTTATTTGAGATTTTCCCATCTTCATTGGTTTAGTAAATTATGGTACATTAATACAAGATGCTATGAAACACTATTTCATGAAATATAAGATGCTTTTAATTATAAAACTCATCATTATTTTATAACTCCTAAGAAATAAAAAACCTACCAATTAAACTATGCTACTTTGAATTTTAATATGCGTCCTGATTTCACTGACCTTACCATGTGTAAAAGTATTATTCTAACAACTGATGAAATACGGTTTTAAAATTGATAAGGAAGTTCTCTGTGTCCTGAGAATGAAGTAACATATGGACATATTTATATATTTCTTTCTGTGTATTTATATATATATATATGTGACATAGAGGGATACTGGATCACATTGGGGCAAGAATGGCATGTAGAATTTGAAATTACTGATGCATTAATTTTCTTTTAACTTTTTAAAGTAATTCCCATAGAATTCTGTGATGTATGAAATTCTGTTTGTTTCGTTTTGTTTTATTTGCAGTTTGCCAGTTTTGTCTTTTTAATTCATCTTTTTAAAGAGCTCTTAGTTGTATTTTCAATTACAATTGTATTTCTCCTGTGTCAATCTCTGACTTGCACAAGGATTTGACTATGAAAACCCTTCTCTTTTAATGCTTTGAACATTCTACAAAACTGCTACATCGCAGACTCCCCAAGTCGCTGAATGAAGGACTGAATGTGGGGATTGGGGTCATCAAGACTTAGACATGTTTTAGAAGTTTCTGTCTATTCTGAAGACTAGAGTAAAAATAAAGTTCAAAGAGAATACTGAGGTCTAAATTATGCGAAAAGCTCATATCATCACCGTAGAGTCTGAATGAAGGAACAAGAGAAGGGGACCGAAGTTGTGGTTGTAATACAAAAAGCTCAGCAATTTGGTAAAGGCAAGCATTCGCCTCTTATACCATTTAATGGTGCATGCTGGTATTTGTGAAGAAACCCATATGTGGTGCCATTTGGGTTTGGGTGGTTT